AAAACAAAAAACAAAAAAACACACACACACACACACACACACACAAATATATATGTATGTGTGTATATATGTATGTATGTGTGTGTGTACATATATATATATAAAATAGCTTGCTATCATTATCTATTGAGTGCCTATTTTGTGCTGGACACTATTCAAAGCAGTTTTTAATTTTCGTGATAGCCCTATGGCATATGAACCTTTATTATCCCACTTTTTTAAGGAAACAAAAACAGAGATGTAATTTGTCAACGATTGAATGGTAGAAGATTGCACATCCCAGATTTAAACCAACTGGATTCCACTCTTTGCATTTTCTTGCTCTTCGAAAGATAGGTAGTAGGGGAAAGGAGTGGAAGCAACAGTCCTGGATAAACCCACGTTTGTCCTCAGGACCCAGAACATCCTTCAGAATAGATGAGAAATATTGGGAACTGAGTTTAGGGAAGTAGAACTAAAGAAAGTGAGGATTACATAATTGCTTTGTGAATTTACAAGCTTGAGAGAGTCAGTCCAATAATTAACTCATGTACTTTTTTGTCCTTGATTGTGCAAGTTTTTACTGAGAATATTATTAATAATATGATTAATGTTTTCAAGAGTCAAACATTAATCTTGTGGGAATGTTTGCTTATTTTGCTTCTGCTTACAATAAAGACTAAGTTAATGGTTTTGTGATTTTTATATTCATTGGGCAGGGAAAGAGCTATTGATTCATTAACTGTGCTGTCTTATTGGCATGTAGCTATGCACTGTTCACTCAGTACATAAAATATCATGTTATGCTATTTTGTCCAAGGGAAAAAGACAAACAGTGAGATTTCTTTCTTTATTATTATATTTTGAGACAGGGTCTTTCTCTGTCACCCAGGCTGCAGTACAGTGTTGTGATAATAACTCACTGCAGCCTTGAACTCCTGGGCTCAAGCAGTCCTCCCACCTCAGCCTCCCAAGTAGCTAGGGCTACAGGTGCACGCCACCATACTCAGCTAATTTTTAAAACGATTTTTGTATTTTTTAGAGATGGGGTCTCACTGTATTGCCCAGGGTAGTCCTGAACTCCTGTCTTCAAGAAAACCTCCCACCTCGGTCTCATAAAGTGGTGGGATTATAGGCATGAACCACCATACCTGGCCAACAGTGAGATTTCTTATGTGAAAAGTGTGCATTTCAACTCTGCTAGTTCCATATGCCTTTATTAGCATTTCAGAGACTTATCCTGTCAACCTGACTTCGGCAGGATAGCTTTTCAGGAAAAGTAGTTTATTGTAAGTGGAGCTTGGAAATATATATATAATCAATTTCTGACATACATTAACCAGATCTCAACTTTCTTAAAAATATACCATAAAGCTGAACTTCATTTAGGTACTTATTCTCAGACATCAGTATGCATAGGAATCACCTGGGGAGCTTAGTAAAATGCAGGTTTCTAGGCCCTATTCTCAGAGACAAATTCATTCTCCAGGTGATTCTGATATAGATGTCTTCAGGGTGCCAGAATAAGATGGAGAAAAGAATGTAGAGTGGGGAGTACAAAAACTCAGTAGTCTGGAGACCCAGGCATAGAAGTGCTAGAGAGCAGATGGGCTTTTCACCAAGGATATTGAGGGAGCTGTGGGAAGTCTGATTGGCCTCCAGGTAATATAAGGCTTCAGCACTTTTTGTTAGGTCCCTGTAGGACTCACTCTTGCTGGCTCTTTAGGTAATAGATGACTGTTCAAATTCAGGTTGCAACTGTGGTGAGACCACTAATCTCCTGTGCAACTGTCTCTTGGTTTGGGGGAAAAGGAAGTCAGTCTGCAGGTGACTGAGCGCTTATAAGCAGTTAGTATGGGCTCGGTTTGAAGGCAGAGCTGGAGAGGGAGAGGGATCTAAATCTTACCATTCTGCCGTTCTCTAAAGGGCTGAGCTTCCTGCTTGCAGGCTGTATGCTAAGAAGAGGAGCATAGAGCTATTGCAAAGGGGGAGATTGTTATTATGCAGGGTCCAATTAGGAGAAATTACCCTTTTTAGTTTTGGAGGAACACTATGAGAATTGCTGAGAGTCTAAGACAAGACCCCAGGCCTAGATCTGCTGACACTTGGCCTATGGAGGTAGGAAGGACTGCTCTGTGTAACTCCAGTGATGGAGTTATTTTGTTCTGGAAATAGAGGATCAAGAGAAAAAGACAGCAGGAGTGGGTCCAAAGCATCCCGACTACCTGCAACATGCACACTAGACCCCATCAGAAAACAGTGAACCACGAAGGGAAATGAAGAATTCCAGGTGGTTTCTGTGGGAAGTGTGCTGCAGACCTTTTCATCTGTCTCAAATGGAGAAAACATCAGTAATTCTGTATATCTTGCCAACACTTTTAACGAGAAGTTTCTTCTTTTGGGGGGGCCTCGTAAGGAAAATGAGACAGCAGCAACTTTACGAGTTCTGTATATGTGCTTTAAACAGTATCTTAGATCCAGCAGGTCGGTTGTTTCCCACCTACGTGTACTGAGCTACAGTTTTTCAAATGTGTATACTCTGTAGATGCTGTGAATGATAAAATACAAATGTATTTTTAAGAGTTCTTGCCCGGGCGCGGTGGCTCACGCCAGCAATCCCAGCACTTTGGGAGGCCGAGGTGGGTGTATCACGAGGTCAGGAGATCAAGACCATCCTGTCTAACACGTTGAAACCCCGTCTCTACTAAAAACACAAAAACAAAATTAACCAGGCATGGTGGCGGCGCCTGTAGTCCCAGCTACTCGGGAGGCTGAGGCAGGAGAATGGCGTGAACCCGGGAGGCAGAGCTTGCAATGAGCCAAGATCGCGCCACTGCACTCCAGTCTGGGCGACAGAACCAAACTCCGTCTCAAAAAAAAAAAAAAAGTTCTTAAATTCACACATTTTAATGGTGGATTTTCTCAATCTCTTTTATGGTTGGGTCTAAGGAACTTTTTGTCCAAAAAAACAAACCCCAAAAAAACCACAATGAGTTTCTCATACTTTAAAAGGCTAGAAACCCCTGAAATAAAGCATCATAATTATGTCTTCAGATTGGCTGTAAAGAACTTACTCCTCACGTAATGCAAACCCTCATGGTTCAGTGACTTTATTGTGTTGTTTATGATGGATTTTTAGACAGAGGCAAGATAAACTGCATTTTTGTTTTACTTTAGCAGAATATTAACACTGAATACAGAGTGGTATGTAAAAACACATTTACTTTAAAACTGTCACATTATTTGACTTTTTAACTGTATAAGAAAAAGTTTGCTGCTGCTAGAGTAAGCAGACAACCCACAGAGTAGGTGAAAATCGGTACATCCAACAAAGGACCAATATCCAGAATCTGCAAGGAACTCAAGCAAATTAGCAAGAAAAAAACAAACAATCCCTTCAAAAAGTGGGCTAAGGACATTAATAGACAGTTCTCAAAAGGAGATATACAGATGGCCAGCAAACATGAAAAAATGCTCAGCATCACTAATGATCAGGGAAATGCAAATCAAAACTACAATGTAATACCACCTTACACCTGCAAGAATGGCCATAATCAAAAAACAAAACAAACCAAAAAACCCAACAGATGTTGATGTGAATGCAGTGAAAAGGGAACACTTCTACACTGCTGGTGAAAATGTATGGCCGGGCGTGGTGGCTCAAGCCTGTAATCCCAGCACTTTGGGAGGCCGAGGCGGATGGATCACAAGGTCAGGAGATCGAGACCATCCTGGCTAACACCGTGAAACCCCGTCTCTACTAAAAAAGTACAAAAAACTAGCCAGGCGTGGTGGCGGGCGCCTGTAGTCCCGGCTACTTGGGAGGCTGAGGCAGGAGAATGGCATGAACCCGGGGGGCGGAGCTTGCAGTGAACCAAGATCGCGCCACTGCACTCCAGCCTGGGGCACAGAGCAAGACTCCGTCTCAAAACAAAAAAAAAGAAAAAAAGAAAATGTAAAGTGGGCTGGGCATGGTGGATCACGCCTGTAATCCCAGCACTTTCAGAGGCTGAGGCAGGCGAATCACATGAGGTCAGGAGTTCAAGACCAGTTTGGCCAACATGGTGAAACCCTGTCTCTACTAAAAATAGAAAAAATAGCCAGCCGGGTGTGGTGGCAGGCGCCTGTAATCCCAGCTCCTCAGCAGGCTGAGACAGGAGAGTCACTTGAACCTGGAAGGCAGAGGTTGCAGTGAACCAAGATCGCACCATCGCACTCCAACCTGGGCGACAACAGTGAGACTCTGCTCGGAAAAAAAAAAAAAAAAAGTAAACTAGTACAACCATTATGGAAAACAGTGTAGAGAGTCCTTAAAGAACTTTAAAGAACTAAAAGTAGAACTACCATTTGATCAGTAGTGGGATAGCAATCCCACGACTGAGTATCTACCCAGAGGAAAAGAAGTTATTATACGAAAAAGATACTTGCACATACGTTTATAACAGCACAATTCACAATTGCAAAAATATGGAAACAGCCCAAATGCCCATCAATCAATGATTGGATAAAGAAATTGTGAGAGAGAGATATATATTACATCATATATATATGATGCAATACGAGTCAGCCATAAAAAGGAATGAATTAATGGCATTCGCAGCAACCTGTGATGGAACTGGAGACTATTATTCTAACTGAAGTAACTCAGGAATGGAAAACCAAACATTGTATGTTCTCACTCATAAATGGGAGCTAAACTATGAGGATGCAAAGACATAGAATGATACAATGGACTTTGGGGACTCAGGGGAAAGGGTGGGAGGGGGTTGAGGGATAAAAGACTACAAATTGGGTTCAGTGTATACTGCTCAGGTGATAGGTGCACCAGAATCTCACAAATCACCACTAAAGAACTTACTCATGAAACCAAATACCACCTGTTCCCCACAAACCTATGGAAATAAATAATTAAAAAACAAAAAAGCCCAAAACAAACTGAGCAATAGAAAGTTATCTGCTGCTTAGTAAAAACATGAAAATTCAGACACATTGATGCCATTTCCCTTTTTTTCCCCAGGCACTGTTATGTGGTATACTTGTTACATGTCCTGAGGATCCACTGAGATATTTAGAGGGAATGATCATGGTTATAATCAAAAGTGGTCTTCAGAATCTTCTTTGGTAAGTATTGTTTTGATTCGTGATAGGGAAATATTTTTTTGTGAAGGAAAACTTTTATTGTACGGTAACAAAATAAGGTCTTGCCAATGAATGCTTCCAATCTTAAGATTGTTAAGGAATCCTTCCACAGGCTTTTCAGTTCCAAAGACACAAACCTGAATAATTTGCCCAGTGGTTCTCAACTTGAGAAATATCGTGTATTCTCATCAGTAACGTGTTCATAGGGCCAGTTTATTTCAAGTTGGGAATGAGGAAAGGGAGGCATATCCTCCTTTGGGGGACACAGCAAAATCTTGTGAGAGTAGTTTGAAAAAGTCCTCCAGGTGATTCTGATCTGCTTCTCCTAAGGGGAAATGTGTTTTCTTTCTCCTCTCTTTCATTCCACCTACAAGAATCACTGATTTAATTATGGAACTAATTAATGAAATTAATTTTGACTGTGTTTTATGATGTTATTAAAGGGATATGTGCATTGCTCCATCAATGAAACCAAACATTCGAAGATTGTCTGAAACTTACCTGGAACAACTTTTTGAATTGGATGATCAGCTGGTAATTATTACTAACCAAGAATATGCAAATATATATTTTAAACTTTGATGGAATTTTCCAAATGTATTTTATGGGAGGTGTGAGGTCAGACTGTTTTTGGTATTGGGAGCACCGAGAAAAGTGAAGGAATAGCCACACACATACACAAACGCATGCAAAACCACACCCATAGTAACCTTCCCAAATTTCCAGAAAGTATTTACAAAGGCATTTGTTCCTTCTCTTTCTGATACAATCTTTCCATTAAGTTTTCCCCTTTTCCTCTTTCTCCTTCTCCCATGCATCTTTATAAAGATAAAAATAGCATTATGGAAAGCTTTACAAGAGGATGTTTTCTTTCCTTTCTAATCTGCTTCCTTCTGTGTTCCATTCCACCGCCCATTCTCTCTGCTGTCTGTCTTCTCAGATTAGGTTATAGGGAATCATGCTTATAATGACATGACCAAAACATTAATGACATTCAACTTAAAAGCCAGATCTCATTGTTACTGAAAACTAGTGCCAGCAACTGGTTTTGATCTTGTAAAGAGGGCAAGGAAGTAATTCAGGACATGAAGACTTTAGAACAAAGCTCATTTAAGGGAGGCTAACAGAGCAAAAGGAACGTGAAGAGAGAAATACTAGCACACATTAGATATGTGTGGAACCATGTGTGATACCTCTTTTTTTTTTTTTCCCCAGTCGGAGTCTTGCTCTGAATGCCTGGGCTGGAGTGCAATGGCGCGATCCCGGCTCACTGCAACCTCCGCCTCCCGGGTTCAAGCGATTCTCCTGTCTCAGCCTTCCGAGTAGCTGAGATTACAGATGCATGCTGCCTCGCCACTAAAATATAATTTTTTTGTATTTTAGTAGAAACAGGGTTTCACCATGTTGCCCAGGCTGGTCTTGAACTCCTGACCTCAGGCAATCCACCTGCCTCAGCCTCCCAAAGTGCTAGGATTACAGGTGTGAGCCACTGCGCTTGGCCCGTGCGTGATACCTCTTGATTACAGGGCTGTAGTTTGGTAGGCCCAGGCGGGTCTTGGGAGTTGCTATTGAAGTTGGATGTTGAAAAGTGGAATCAAAGCCATGTTCAAGGTGGGGGCTGAGAGTCAGAAACAATTTGAGGTATCTGTTTAGAAGGATGGGTGGTGAGTAACACTGGAAACAACAGAGAAACAATTAGAGGGCTGAGATGATTCTGAGGCACCAGTACATTGGGCAGATCCCATGTGTCCCATCCTAGTTGATCTGCATCATGGTGTGTGGGTGTTTTTACTGCACTTTATTAACCACAGACTTTCAATCTACTATGGAGTGCAGATATCTGCAAATTACTATGTTTTTGGAACTGTTTGGGGACAACCTCAGGAGCTGAGGGAGAGGCCTAGGGGACAGGATTCTGGGTCCTGTATGCCTACCCCTGTACTCCAAAATAGTTTTGGTTTCAGTATGATTTTGCTTGAAAAAAGCTTGACAGCCATTGCTAAAATATACTAGTTTTTGAAAGCCACTGATTTAGAGTGGTAAACCCTATCGTCAATATTATGACAAGGACCTTATATAAAGTCAGGCCAGCTGTCCAGTGTCCAGTGTCCAGCTAGAAGCCCATAGGGAATCATTTAAAAACTGCAGATAATTCTGGCCGGGTGTGGTGGCTCACACCTCTAATTGCAGCACTTTGGGAGGCCGAGGCGGGTGGATCACCTGAGGTCAGGAGTTTGAGACCAGCCTGGCCAACATGGCGAAACGCCGTGTCTACTAAAAGTACAAAAATTAGCTGTGCATGGTGGTGGGCACCTGTAATCCCAGCTACTCAGGAGGCTGAGGCAGGAGAATCACTTGAACCTAGGAGGTGGAGGTTGCAATGAGCCAAGATTGCACCACTGCGTTCCAGCCTGGGCGACAAGAGCAATATTCCATCTCAGAAAACAAACAAACAAAAACTGCAGAGAATGTCAAGAGACATCATAGCTACTTCAAACCTAAAGTTTTATTAGAAAAGGAATTGTTGGCTGGGTGTGTTGGTTCATGCCTGTAATCCCACTTTGGGAAGCTGAGGCAGGCGGATCACCTGAGGTCAGGAGCTCGAGACCAGCCTGGCCAACGTGGTGAAATCCTGTCTCTACCAAAAATACAAAAACTAGCTGGGCGTGATGGCGGGCACCTGTAATCCCAGCTACTCAGGAGGGTGAGCCAGGAGAATCACTTGAACCCAGGAGGAAAAGGTTGCAGTGAGCTGAGATCGCGCCACTGCACTCTAGCCTGGGTGACAAGAATGAAACTCCATCTCAAAAAAAAAACAAAAACAAAAGGGAATTGTTAGACCTATTTCATGGTGTTGAAAATGCAGAAGTTAAAATATTAAAAGCTGATCCAAACTTAGAGTTATGACAGTTTGCCAAGGCATAGAAAAGGTGCCCACTTCATATAATAAGTTGGAAATAATAGAAATGAGATAGGACTTTGCAAAAGCAATGAAGGAAATATTTGTTAAGGTTAGACATGAAAATGTGAATCTCCAGGTGTCCTAGGGTTGCTTGTTAGAGGGCTCAACCTAGGTTGGATCTAGATTAATTCATTTCTCCTCCACCCTCAGAGAAAAATGAAAAGTTTTTTTCTACAAAGAAGCAAAACACTTTCATCCTCAATGTTTTTGATATTTTAAAGTATATACTCTAAAGCCAGGCACAGTGGCATGCACTTGTACCCCCATGTACTTAGGAGGCTGAGGTAGGATAATTGCTTGAGGCCAGGAGTTTGAAACCAACCTGGGCAACATAGTGAGACCTCATCTCTTAAAGAAAATGTATAGTATACTAAATGAATATTGGTTTTACTTTTTTTTCATATGCCTTTCCTATGTAGTTTTCCATACCATTATAACTGGCAGTAAAATGATTTTTAATGTTTTAACAGAAAACTTCAAAGGTCATGAATAACTATAATTCTTCCCATTAATTACTGATTGCTTAATTGCAGGGTTTTTCAGTCTTACACTGCACAGTTCTGCACAGTGAGGACTGCCTATATGTGCTGTTAAAGTGATCTAAATATGTCCTGAGAAGGACTCTGTACTTCTATATTTGAGTTCTTGTGGAAGAACTGCAACCTAGCTTAATAGGTAGACAAGATTGAAAACCTAACTAGGAGTATGTACCTATAACTATAGCTGAGACTTGGCCAATCCCAGCAACCATACTTAAACCATTCATACACCGCTGAGTGTTCAGACTGTGTTCAAACAAGGCAAACATCAGTCTGTAACCAATCTAGCTGTTCTGTACCTTACTTCCAATTTCTGTACATCATTTCTCCTTTTTGGTCTATAAATCTTCCACGAGGTGGCTGTGCTGGAGTCTCTGTGAATCTGCTGTGATTCTGGGGACTACCTGACTTGTGAATTTTTCGTTGCTCAATTAAACTCCATTAAATTTTATTTGGCTAAAGTTTTTCTTTAATCAGATAGTGTCAGAAGTGGAATCTGAAGTAGAGCTTCTGGCAACCCCCAGGAGTGCTGAGTGAACTGAACAAGCAAGGTACCTGCAGGACCCACTTGTGTTCACTGATCTCTCAGAGCAGCTGGGGCTTGTGGATAAGCTCTCTCTTGGGTTTCAGAGCTCCACAGATTTGTGTTTTGAGCTCTCCAAGTTTCTTTGAGCCAATTTCTGATCCAAACAGGGTTTGGAAGTCATGACAGAAACTGAGCTGGGTCCAGGAATGGATTTGATCTGGGAATTAATTGGCTTGGATCCAGTTAGAGGTCTCTTACACCTGACTGGTTCAGAAAGGAACTGATAGTAAGCAGTAATATTGCAGGATTATAAAACTTGACTTTTGAAAATTCACAGGGATTTTTATGTTCTACCCCTTTGTTTCATTTTTCTTGCATGCTTAGGTAGGAAAAATCATTGGCTCAGTTAATCAAGAGACCCTGAGAGTCAAGCCAATATTTTAAGTAAAAATGAGATCCTTAATTTCCGGAAAACTAAGTTCCTTCCAGCTTACATTAGGCCTGGGAGACAGCATAGTCTTACAGAAATGGCAAAATCTTACTATAGATAACTTACAGTGGAATGTTCCAAATGTACAACAATTCAATTAAGTATGTTTAAAAATAAGGGCTCTCAGTAAAGTCTCTTTCAGTTAAGAACAAGTTTGGCGCTATGGGATGTTAACTGCTATTCTCTTTTGATTAATCTGTCTTATACTTTTTGCTGACTGCTATAGGTGACAGTATTAGGCATGTACAGGACCATGGGACATGGGAAGCTTTTTCCTCTCCAAAAGGGGAATCTTGAGAGCTGATGGGATTGCTGGAAAAGATCCCTTCACTACTGACAAGTGGCCTCCTGAACTTTTCAGTGTCACTGCAATGAATGGGTCTTGCTCTCGCCTCCCTGAGCTCTTCACTTTTCCCATCTTGCCACAGGCAATACTTTTCTTTCTCTTCCTTTCCTTTCGTATCTTTTCTGTTACTCAGGGCAGCCATCTTGCCCAGAGACCATGTGCTGAAACTCCTAGTTGGAGGTTGGATTGAAGATGACAGGGGCCATCGGAGGGCAAATTTAAGCCTAACCAGTTTGATATTGGGTGCTAAACAGAGTGGCTAATGTCTGTGTTTTATCATATGTGTTTTGTTCTGGCCAAAACGAAAAAAGATCATTTTCTTTTATGATGCAGCTTGGCCCCCAGGGCGATGGTGTGGCAAGCTGGGTCACTAGAGCTGCTCAGGGAAAGGGAAAGAGAGCCCAGAAGCCTAGCATGCCAGTAAAAGGGTAAGAATTTCTTACCAGTCAGATTTCTGGCTTTTTCCCTCTTTTTCTTTGTGCAAAATGTTTAAATGAATGGTAAAAATCACTGTTATCTCCTATGTAAAGTTTTGATTCATACAAAAAAGAATTTTGAGGCTTGTCTTAAGCTCTAGTGAATCTGATGTGCTTTGTGTGTCTTTCTGTATTGTTTTGTCATAAAGAGGGGTACCTTAGGATAAAATGTGTGCCCAAAACCTCATAAGCCTG